ACGACAAAGTCGTTTCGTCGCTGGAGGAGAAGGTGTTGGACGGGAGCAACGGTGATGATGGGCAGGGGAGAGCGCAGGTGGACAATGGCGACATGTGCAGGAGCAACGACGGCAACTCGACGAGCAGCGGCGGAAGCAACCCCAATGTGAAGGCGGGGTACGGGTCGAACGGCGGGCATTATTGTCCAGGGATGAGTCCGTTGGCGTCGGGAAGCATGTTAACAGGCGGGGACGCGGACAGGGGCGATGACGGGGGCAAGCGCAGCGTAGGCACTGCTTTTCAGGGCGTGGGAAACGCAGGCAAAGGGAGCGGCGCGGGGAAAGGGCAGCAGGCTTCTCCTCTGGGCAGGTCAGGAGAGCAGCCGGTGCCGGGAAGGGGTGGTGCGGGGAGGGTGTCGGATTTGGTGAGGGGCGCGACGCCGCGGGGATGGAACGAGTCCCGGGTGCACGGCGGAGGCGGGGCGCTGGCGGCGCTGAAGGGAGGGGATCAGCACGGGTCGCATGGTTTTTCGGAGGACCCGGTGTCGTCGTGCAATCGTGCGAACGACGGCGAGGAGGAGGTGACTGGGTGCGGGCTGGAGTCTCCAGGGTTCGGGTCGTCGCCGGCGAGCGATTGCAGCTCGCCGTCGACGGGGGTGAACGGCACGTCGAACAAGAAGGCGTGGGCGGGGCAGGAGGACGGCGCGGCGATCACGGTGAAGGTGACGCACGGGCTGGACACGGTGCGCGTGAAGTTTTCGCGGAACGGGTCGTTCGTGGAGCTGAAGGAGGAGGTGAGGCGAAGGCTGAAGCTGGTGGGGCAGAAGTTCAGCCTGAAGTATTTGGACGACGACGAGGAATGGATGCTGCTGGCGTGCGACGCGGACCTGCAGGAGAGTATCGATCTGATGCGCGTGTCGGGGAGGCACGCCATCAAGCTGATGGTCTGCAACAGCATGTTGTGATGGTGCGCCGTAGTGCGGTGCGCTGGCGCCGTTGGGGCACGAGTCGTCTATGCAAATCCCTCCGCGGATGTGGTCGAGGTGAAGGGGACGTGGAGTCGAATCGCGGTCTCGGGGTAGGCGACTAGGGGGAGGGTGTAGAGTGGCGATGATAACAAAGTTTTGCAAGTGTGTCTAAGCAAGGCGAAGCGGGGCTTGGCAGGGTAGTTGGGCGGATAGAGAGGGGTATTTTGAGCACTGCGCGGGAGCTGAGTGCAAAGCCCTTTTGTGCCACCGTAAGACCTTGTAGCACATGATTGAGGCAACGCGGCAGCGCGGGATGTGGTGCATTGCAAAGTACATGAAGTGGATGACTTGATCCCTGTGATAATTTGATGGCTCGCTCACATTTCAGGCACGACTGTGCGTGTTTTGGTCCTCTTGTGTGCTGGATGATGAGGGTCAGAGCGATGCAGACTGACACACTAGGGGGCTGGTTCGATCACCACCAGAGGTGTGTAGTATGTTGAGGGGCTGAAATGGTGCGTGTTTTTATGATTTCTAGTTTTGTCTGCCACTTTGTTTTTGGTTCAGATGGTAAGCGGCACAGAGGTTTACTTGGAGCGGAGCGATCGGCAGATTTCAGTGTTTTGGAGGGTGTTGCTGCTCTTCGGTGATGTATCAGTTGAATGAATGGATATTCGATGTTGGATTGCGTCGGTCGGGGAGCCGCGATGTGTAACTCGGAGAATGTTTCTGTGAAGGGGATACTGGCAAAATGGATTGAAACCTGTGCATTAGTCCTTGTGAATGCAATTTCCTGTTGGATTCTTCGTAAGCAAGGCGAGATGGTCTGACCGTAGCAATGATGGGGCCTTTTCGGTAGTGCTGGTCTGCAGCATCAATACGGTATTAGTACGGCATCCTTTTATTTGGGTACACCGACCAAGTCGCAGAATGTAGTGTGCACTCCGAGCCAGTAGACCGCTTTTACACTACTTTCTTTACAACACAATGCATTTTACAGTATAACAATGAATGAAAGTCGTTTAAAGTTCCACCAAGATGTTCACATTGTTAGGGTCTAGTTACATTTCTCAGTTGTAGTTGTGATGGAATTATCTTCCATTAACGAGAATTGGAAGCTGATGCGGACACAAGTGAGGATGCGTCGCCTTTATATAACTAATTTCTGGTGCTTTAGACCTGGAACGTCTAACTGTATCATTTGGTATCTATACAACTATGATTACAAGCTACGGATATAGGTTGAGTGTACAAGTAATAACACGCTCATCTAATCTCAGCTGAGAGTAATCTTGTACATGATCAGAGTCGGACGCAGTCCTCCTCCATAATATTTCCAAACTCCCACCGTACGCTTCAATCTTGCTTTTGTTTTGAAGGTGCACAATGATCCTTTATTTCTATTCTGTTTATTCGTTTAGTTGCCTGTATTGCAAAAGAGAAAATGACTTTTAACGGCTTGTGTAGACTTACAGATGTATTTGGAACTTCAAATGCATCAAGTCTAAACTCTGTGTAATCTACTGCAATCATTGAACACTGTGATTATAGAACCACATGTGATGCCTAGGACATAGTTGGAGGTTCTGCCCAAGATTCTCTTGAGACCACCCTTCCGGCCATCAACTGCACGGTTCATCAACTCTTCTTCTGAGTCTCCACGCTTCATTGACGTATTTGAAGCTGAGTTTTTTTTTGTACATTTGAACTTCTTGCGGATGCTCTTGCCTTACCTCTCCTTCTTGACTCAATGATAGTTGTTGCTTTCCTCCCACATATACTTACTTTAATTGATCCAATGCTCAATTCTCTTGTTAGATATCCAAATTTGCAGCAACTTTGTATACTTTGATGGATTAACAGAGCTTGGTGTCAATCGACTCAACTATCAAAGGCTCTTTTGGTAGATGCAGTAATTAGACTCTTGTAGAGTGAGTGCACAATATCACTCAGTTGTTGAAATGCTTTCTTTACTTGTTTCTTTCTTACTCTAAAGCAAAATCTGACATTAGATCCCTATTCTATGTAGAGCTCATGTGATTGTATTGGCAACTTTCAAATATTGAGGGACTTACTCTTGGGATGATGACTATGGAAGTTGGAGCAATGATTCTACAAAAGTTGTCACACGAAGAAATTCTTTTGTAGACACAATGGCAACTTGGAAAGAGGTTAATTACTACCACTCTTATTCTATAGGTGATTAGATTGCTTGATACAACTTAGACAAAAAATTAAAAATTAATAGTTGACATTTTCTAATATATCATTTATAGATACTACACTCATGCCTTTTCTAAATTTCATAAACAACATTTTGTGTAGAGATTTTGTAAATATATTTTCTATTAATTCCTTAATTGAAATATAATTCAATGTTACCTCTTTTCTTTCAACTTATTCATGCATGAAGTAGTAATATTGTTTGATGTGTTTTATCTTGTTGTAGAACATATCATTTTTTGCCATCTTGATTGCACTAATGTTGTCACACATGATCATTGTTGGTTCTTTTTGTTTTGCTCTTAGATCTCATAGTAACTTTAGTAACCATGCTTCTTTTGTTGCTCCATTGGATAGTACCATATACTTTGATTCAATTGACAACCTTGCCATATATTCTTGCTTCTTGGACTTATATGTTGTTGATCTAGATCCTAACATAATAACATATCCAATATTAAATTTTCATTTGTCAAGGTACAAGTTGTGGTCAATATTTATAAATCCTAGTATCTTATTGTTATCTCTTTATTTGTACCATATTCCAAATTCTTGTATTTATCTTAGGTATTTGACAAATTTCATGGTAGATTAGGATTTGTCTAGGATTTAGGATTTTATTAAGATTTTATTAGAGTTTGACCTAGAATTTGGTTAAGGTTCAAGTAGGATTTTAATTGGGGTTTGATCTAAGGTTTGGTTAAGATTTAATTAGGATTCAAATTAAAGTTATGTTAGGATTTTTATTTTTAATATTTTTTTGATTTATTTTAAAGGTTTATATTTATATTTATTTAAGATTTTTTGTTAGTTTTTTAAAAAATTAAATCATGACTTCTTTTTATTTCTTTTGAGACTTCTTTTAAATTTATTTTGATAGGTTGAAGTTTGATTGGATTTATTAGAGATTACTTGAAGTTTATTTAAGGCTCTATTAAACTTGATAGAATTATTGTTGTATTTTTACTTACCTTCAATAATTAGGTGCCTAATGCATTCTCAAGGAAGAATAAATACTATACGACAATGTAAGTGTGGAGCTTGTCATTTTACTAGAAACTTGCTTGTTATACCTATAAGATATGCTAAGCATGGGCTACTTACTCTAATGATGAGCCTTAATTTTCCTACAAGGCATCTATAATATGTAGGATCTATTAATATATTTCTTTTTATTACTTTGTGTAAGTATTTAGATCTTTCTTACTAGGTATTGAACAAAGATTATATCAAGGACGTGAATTTTGAAGAAAGAAAATTCAGTACACTCTTGTGTCATTCGAAAAGATTAGAAAGTCACTCATAGATAGTAATATATTGAATTAGAATGATTATTGCCAAAGACAAGAAAACAAGAAAGTCTTAAAATAAAACTAAGGACTAGAAAGACATTGATAAGAATGAAGAAGGCTTCACTCTTGCCTTCTTATATACTATCTAACTAGAAGCTACTTAGTAATATTCTATAAGACTTCCAACACTTGTTGACTTTACAAGACATTTATCTTTACATGCAAGGCAAGAATTCTATAAGTGCACCATACTATTAGCTTGTTTCAAAAGCTACCAACACGTGTAATATGTGGTTAACTTGTTGAACAAGTTTCTAACTTATCAATCAATAATAAAGACGTATATAGTCAAAACTGCATCTATGAAGCTTCTAAGAAGCTTTTCTAGAAGACATTACAAAATTAATCTATTTTTACTTACTTCTACTTAATCATATAGGTAATTATTGAAATAAATATGTATGTCTATGACATAAATACGTTGTCGTATAGTATTTATTCTTCCTTGAGAATGCATTAGGCACCTAATTATTGAAGGTAAGTAAAAATACAACAATAATTCTATCAAGTTTAATAGAGCCTTAAATAAACTTCAAGTAATCTCTAATAAATCCAATCAAACTTCAACCTATCAAAATAAATTTAAAAGAAGTCTCAAAAGAAATAAAAAGAAGTCATGATTTAATTTTTTAAAAAACTAACAAAAAATCTTAAATAAATATAAATATAAACCTTTAAAATAAATCAAAAAAATATTAAAAATAAAAATCCTAACATAACTTTAATTTGAATCCTAATTAAATCTTAACCAAACCTTAGATCAAACCCCAATTAAAATCCTACTTGAACCTTAACCAAATTCTAGGTCAAACTCTAATAAAATCTTAATAAAATCCTAAATCCTAGACAAATCCTAATCTACCATGAAATTTGTCAAATACCTAAGATAAATACAAGAATTTGGAATATGGTACAAATAAAGAGATAACAATAAGATACTAGGATTTATAAATATTGACCACAACTTGTACCTTGACAAATGAAAATTTAATATTGGATATGTTATTATGTTAGGATCTAGATCAACAACATATAAGTCCAAGAAGCAAGAATATATGGCAAGGTTGTCAATTGAATCAAAGTATATGGTACTATCCAATGGAGCAACAAAAGAAGCATGGTTACTAAAGTTACTATGAGATCTAAGAGCAAAACAAAAAGAACCAACAATGATCATGTGTGACAACATTAGTGCAATCAAGATGGCAAAAAATGATATGTTCTACAACAAGATAAAACACATCAAACAATATTACTACTTCATGCATGAATAAGTTGAAAGAAAAGAGGTAACATTGAATTATATTTCAATTAAGGAATTAATAGAAAATATATTTACAAAATCTCTACACAAAATGTTGTTTATGAAATTTAGAAAAGGCATGAGTGTAGTATCTATAAATGATATATTAGAAAATGTCAACTATTAATTTTTAATTTTTTGTCTAAGTTGTATCAAGCAATCTAATCACCTATAGAATAAGAGTGGTAGTAATTAACCTCTTTCCAAGTTGCCATTGTGTCTACAAAAGAATTTCTTCGTGTGACAACTTTTGTAGAATCATTGCTCCAACTTCCATAGTCATCATCCCAAGAGTAAGTCCCTCAATATTTGAAAGTTGCCAATACAATCACATGAGCTCTACATAGAATAGGGATCTAATGTCAGATTTTGCTTTAGAGTAAGAAAGAAACAAGTAAAGAAAGCATTTCAACAACTGAGTGATATTGTGCACTCACTCTACAAGAGTCTAATTACTGCATCTACCAAAAGAGCCTTTGATAGTTGAGTCGATTGACACCAAGCTCTGTTAATCCATCAAAGTATACAAAGTTGCTGCAAATTTGGATATCTAACAAGAGAATTGAGCATTGGATCAATTAAAGTAAGTATATGTGGGAGGAAAGCAACAACTATCATTGAGTCAAGAAGGAGAGGTAAGGCAAGAGCATCCGCAAGAAGTTCAAATGTACAAAAAAAAACTCAGCTTCAAATACGTCAATGAAGCGTGGAGACTCAGAAGAAGAGTTGATGAACCGTGCAGTTGATGGCCGGAAGGGTGGTCTCAAGAGAATCTTGGGCAGAACCTCCAACTATGTCCTAGGCATCACATGTGGTTCTATAATCACAGTGTTCAATGATTGCAGTAGATTACACAGAGTTTAGACTTGATGCATTTGAAGTTCCAAATACATCTGTAAGTCTACACAAGCCGTTAAAAGTCATTTTCTCTTTTGCAATACAGGCAACTAAACGAATAAACAGAATAGAAATAAAGGATCATTGTGCACCTTCAAAACAAAAGCAAGATTGAAGCGTACGGTGGGAGTTTGGAAATATTATGGAGGAGGACTGCGTCCGACTCTGATCATGTACAAGATTACTCTCAGCTGAGATTAGATGAGCGTGTTATTACTTGTACACTCAACCTATATCCGTAGCTTGTAATCATAGTTGTATAGATACCAAATGATACAGTTAGACGTTCCAGGTCTAAAGCACCAGAAATTAGTTATATAAAGGCGACGCATCCTCACTTGTGTCCGCATCAGCTTCCAATTCTCGTTAATGGAAGATAATTCCATCACAACTACAACTGAGAAATGTAACTAGACCCTAACAATGTGAACATCTTGGTGGAACTTTAAACGACTTTCATTCATTGTTATACTGTAAAATGCATTGTGTTGTAAAGAAAGTAGTGTAAAAGCGGTCTACTGGCTCGGAGTGCACACTACATTCTGCGACTTGGTCGGTGTACCCAAATAAAAGGATGCCGTACTAATACCGTATTGATGCTGCAGACCAGCACTACCGAAAAGGCCCCATCATTGCTACGGTCAGACCATCTCGCCTTGCTTACGAAGAATCCAACAGGAAATTGCATTCACAAGGACTAATGCACAGGTTTCAATCCATTTTGCCAGTATCCCCTTCACAGAAACATTCTCCGAGTTACACATCGCGGCTCCCCGACCGACGCAATCCAACATCGAATATCCATTCATTCAACTGATACATCACCGAAGAGCAGCAACACCCTCCAAAACACTGAAATCTGCCGATCGCTCCGCTCCAAGTAAACCTCTGTGCCGCTTACCATCTGAACCAAAAACAAAGTGGCAGACAAAACTAGAAATCATAAAAACACGCACCATTTCAGCCCCTCAACATACTACACACCTCTGGTGGTGATCGAACCAGCCCCCTAGTGTGTCAGTCTGCATCGCTCTGACCCTCATCATCCAGCACACAAGAGGACCAAAACACGCACAGTCGTGCCTGAAATGTGAGCGAGCCATCAAATTATCACAGGGATCAAGTCATCCACTTCATGTACTTTGCAATGCACCACATCCCGCGCTGCCGCGTTGCCTCAATCATGTGCTACAAGGTCTTACGGTGGCACAAAAGGGCTTTGCACTCAGCTCCCGCGCAGTGCTCAAAATACCCCTCTCTATCCGCCCAACTACCCTGCCAAGCCCCGCTTCGCCTTGCTTAGACACACTTGCAAAACTTTGTTATCATCGCCACTCTACACCCTCCCCCTAGTCGCCTACCCCGAGACCGCGATTCGACTCCACGTCCCCTTCACCTCGACCACATCCGCGGAGGGATTTGCATAGACGACTCGTGCCCCAACGGCGCCAGCGCACCGCACTACGGCGCACCATCACAACATGCTGTTGCAGACCATCAGCTTGATGGCGTGCCTCCCCGACACGCGCATCAGATCGATACTCTCCTGCAGGTCCGCGTCGCACGCCAGCAGCATCCATTCCTCGTCGTCGTCCAAATACTTCAGGCTGAACTTCTGCCCCACCAGCTTCAGCCTTCGCCTCACCTCCTCCTTCAGCTCCACGAACGACCCGTTCCGCGAAAACTTCACGCGCACCGTGTCCAGCCCGTGCGTCACCTTCACCGTGATCGCCGCGCCGTCCTCCTGCCCCGCCCACGCCTTCTTGTTCGACGTGCCGTTCACCCCCGTCGACGGCGAGCTGCAATCGCTCGCCGGCGACGACCCGAACCCTGGAGACTCCAGCCCGCACCCAGTCACCTCCTCCTCGCCGTCGTTCGCACGATTGCACGACGACACCGGGTCCTCCGAAAAACCATGCGACCCGTGCTGATCCCCTCCCTTCAGCGCCGCCAGCGCCCCGCCTCCGCCGTGCACCCGGGACTCGTTCCATCCCCGCGGCGTCGCGCCCCTCACCAAATCCGACACCCTCCCCGCACCACCCCTTCCCGGCACCGGCTGCTCTCCTGACCTGCCCAGAGGAGAAGCCTGCTGCCCTTTCCCCGCGCCGCTCCCTTTGCCTGCGTTTCCCACGCCCTGAAAAGCAGTGCCTACGCTGCGCTTGCCCCCGTCATCGCCCCTGTCCGCGTCCCCGCCTGTTAACATGCTTCCCGACGCCAACGGACTCATCCCTGGACAATAATGCCCGCCGTTCGACCCGTACCCCGCCTTCACATTGGGGTTGCTTCCGCCGCTGCTCGTCGAGTTGCCGTCGTTGCTCCTGCACATGTCGCCATTGTCCACCTGCGCTCTCCCCTGCCCATCATCACCGTTGCTCCCGCCCAACACCTTCCCCTCCAGCGACGAAACGACCCTGTCGTCCTCCGGCCGAAACTGCAGCGTCGGCTTCAGCATCGACAACAGCACCTTCTGAGAAGAGCACGGATCGTGCCTCCGCCGATTCTCCTCCTTGGGACCCAGCAGCGACTCCGCCGATCCCACCTTCGCGTGCGCCTCCTTCCCCTCCACGCAGCTCGGAGAAAGCGTCGACCACGACACCGACAGGTTGCCCGGCGACGACGCCGCCAGCCCCTTGTTCATGTGCCCGCTCACGGCCGCCGCTGCCACCGCCGCGGACGACAGGTCGCCCGTCAGCGCGCTGATGCGCAGCGCTCCCTCCGCTCCCTGCACCGAATCGATCACCCCCTGCAACTTCTTCAGCGACCGGCTCACCTTGTTGATCTTCCGAGACGGCCACCGGGAGATCCCATGCTGCCGGCATATCCGCTTCAGAGTCGTCGGACACACTGCCCCAAACCCACCACACACCACATCAACTACACGCACCTACCCATCTTGACCCCGCACGCAACCCATACCACATCCAAATCCACACCCATTCTTCGCACCCTCACCCATGTGCTTCGCCCCGCCCAACATAATTGCCATCCATTCCAACTGCCTCACATACACACCGCTGCCTACTGCTCGTTTACGGCTCCCCCCTCACACCTATTGTTCCCAGTCGCCCATATCCCGAGCGCGCCGACCTACCTACACAGTCAACAGCACTACGCCATGCACGCGCCCGCCCTCCCCCCCTCCCCATCCCCTCCCCTCTCACCCAATGCCGCTTACCACCGATGCTCTTCGCCGCGTCCTTCAAGCTCCCCGCGAAGTACTGCTGCAGCACGTTCAGCCCTATCGTCTTCTCCGTCGTGCCCCGCCTCCTCTCAAACCTCCGTCGATGACTCGCCACGTCCTGCCCCAGGCCCGGGCACCCGAACCCTCCCATGCCCAGCCCCTGCTCCACAGGCAGCTGCTCCGAGTGGTACCCGGGGTACACATGCGACTCTGGAATGCGAAGCCCGTCGTCGCGCCCTCGTCCTAGCAACACTCCGTGAGAAAACTGCTGCAATGCAGAACGCTGCGGCACGAACCGCGCTGCTTGCTGCACGCCGTGCTGCTGCTGCATCACCTGCGAAAACGCCGGGCTCGTCTCCTCGCCATTCACCCCGCCACCGTGCCTGTTGAAACCGCCACGCCATGCCAGAAAGTCCTCCTTGTTGCACACCTCCTTCGCCTCCAACTTCACCGCCTTGGCCTGCATCTCGATGCTCTCCGCCATCGCCACTCTCCGCTCCTCCTCCAACTCCCTCTCGCTCAGAGTCCGCAGACTCTGACAGATGCGTTGCATTGTGATCGACAGCGAGTTCAGCATCTGCTGCTGCTTCTCGCTCTCCACGCAATCCATCGGAAGGAAGAACTCCAGAATGAAGTCCTCGTCCCCGGTGTGCACGCTCCGCAGCCGAATCGCCACGGCCGACACCAGCCCGAACAACTTCGCGTAATGCCCCAGCGGATACTCATCCTTGCTGAAGCTCTTCACGTCCGAGTCGAAAACCGGCAGATTCGTCAGCATCGCCTTCCCGGGCACTCCCTGCCCCTTCTCCAACGCATGTTCCAGACACGCCCGTCGAAACCCCCACATGCGTGCCTCCCCAACATAACACGGACCATCTCCGTCGACTATCCGTAGCACGACCTTCCTCACACCACGCCCTCCGTTCACCTGCACCGCGTTGTGGCTCTGCGCCTTCGCGTCGCCCCTACCGCCATACCTGTACGTGGGAACCCACGTCTGCGCCAGGGGCAGCTTGTGCGCCTCGCACACGCCTTTCAGCACCTCCGCTATCTCCGCCAGCGCGGCTTGCCTACCCCACGACGACCTCTGCATCGCACCACCAACACCCACCCTACTCTCCTCAGCGTCGTCAACATCATCCACCCCTACGACTCCTCCCTCCGCTCTACACCTCCTGCCACACACGCCTCACCGCCCCCGATGCCTAATCTACTACACGGAAAACCAACCATGGCAACTGGGACGCGCGCGTCAATTGCCACCTCCCTACACTACCAGCTTCCCCGAACGACACCACCATGCACGCTCCCAATGCGCAACCATCCAGCGCGCTGCGTCTCTAACATTACGAATTTGCACACACCGCGAGGCACCAGAAACATGAAAGCAGCACACTCAAAATCATCATAGTCACACACACACGCGCATCGCATTGCGATCGAGCCGTGCGTACCTCTAGCGGCGGAGTCTCCAAGCCAACCGGACATGTCAAATTCACAGCCTGCACTCAGCACCACAACCTGCCGCCTTAGACCGTCATCCCCCACTCACCCAACGCACTGGACGCTCTAACCGCGTACCAAGTGCCCATCAACACCCTCCTTCACCAAATCCCGTGAACTTGCACAGAAACAAACAACTCTGGAAACCCATCCCCGCTGCTCTACAGCACCTTCCATCTCCTAGCTGCCTGGCTGGCTAGCTACACACCATTCCCCAGCCTCGCCACGTCAATGTCGCTGCTCGCAACCATCACTCCACCACGATGCAAAACCTACCTGCAGAGCTCGAGCAATGATGTCCACATCAGGACCATACTGGATCTTCTCAGCGCGACCAACCAGCTCGATTACAGCCACGCACTGGCGACTCACGGGGTCAAGCACTGGAACCGCCAGAGACCCCCGTATGTCGCACCTCTGCGCCTCCTTCACACGCAGGTACTCCTGGCTACTGTAATACTGCACGTTCGGCGTCCACTCCGCCTGCTGTCCCGTGAACACGCGCCCCGGCAGCTCCAAAACCTTCCCCTCCGCCCTCTCCGCTGGAAATTCGTACCCCTCCGTCATGTTCCTGTACAGCCACAGCTGCTCGTTGTTCGGCTCCACCACGAACGGCTGCTCCCGCGTCAGCAAACACTTCCGGCTCCCTTGCACCACCGGCATCCATACCTGCACCAGCACGTCCTCCAGCGACTGCCCTATCAGCCGAAGTGCCTCCATCATTCGATCGCGCAGCGGCAGTGGCAGCTCCGCCGCAATTCGGGGCCTCCGCACGCCCGCCTCCAGATTGCCGCTGCTCACGGGGTTGCCCTCCACCGTCGACACCGACGACTTGTCGTCTTCTTTGTCCACCACGCCGCCCTCGCCGATCTCCACCTTCCCGTTCCTACCATCTACGCCCCCTCTGGAATCTCCCATGCCCCTGCCATCCCTCGCCACCACTCCGGCCAGCCCCTGATTGCCCAGCAGCATGTGCGCGGCCTCGCTCAGGCTAGGGCTGCTCAAACTCCGACCCCCGACCGCCGCGCTGTAGCTGCTCATTCCGGACACCACAGCGCTGGACATGGCCAACGACGATTGCGACGAGCTCGCACCTGGGATGGATTGCTGCTGGGACGACTCCAGAGCTTGCTGCAGCATCAGCTCCTGCTGGAACGCCTGCACGCTGGCCGCCAGGCTACCATTCGCGTACGAGAACGCTTGCAACGATGCCAACGCGGGCACCGGGCCTGCGAACACGCCGCCGTGGGACGACGCCGGGAGCGCCAAATACCCCCCGTAATCGCCATAGTTGCCCTCCGCCCACGACTCGCCCAGCAATTGCTCGTGCAACGGCTCCAGCTCCATCAGATCCGTCAACACCGCCTCGTCCATCACGAACTTGGACTCCCCCGCGCTACCTCCTAACCCTGCCAGCACCCCCATCGCCTGCGAGACCACCTGCTGCTGCTGACCATGGCCCCCGAACTCCGTCGTCGGCCTCCACCGCGGCACGCAAGCACGGCTCGCCTGCGGCAGCTCCATGTCCACCCCGACGGCCCCTAACACTCTCCAGGGCGCACTACGACTCCCCCTCCGCCATTCTCATCGACGACAGCACACCCACAATGACCACCACCACTACGCGCCTCCCCCTTCACCTCCACCAGCAGCACTTTTACAACACGACGACGCCTTCGTCGACGCCCCCTATCCCACACGGCTCTGCCGTTGTCGCCCTCGCCCTCGCCCTCCACCCCGCCCCGCGCACGAGCGCCACGCATTCGCGTTGCGGCGTTTGTTGTCTTGCTGCCTGGCGCTTGTGTGGTGAGTGGAGGAAATCTACGTCCCTCGCAGGGATTGCTCTTTGTGGGCAGTGCAGGCAAGCAGGCAGGGAGGCAGGCAGAACTACACTGCTCCTGGCTCGATGTCGCTTTTGCGCATCATCAACGCCGTTCCGTGCCCCCTCTGTCCTAAGGTCACTGTCTGATCGCGACCTTGCCGTTGCCCATCACTGGCTTGTGGACGGTTTCCTGCGCCAGTCGCTGCGTCGCGGCTACGGCTGCTTCTCACGCTTTCATTCCCTACTCCCCTTGAAGGTGCCCTATTCTCTTCCTTTGCCTTCTCTGTCCCTTGCATCACCTGTCTTTTTGTTGCTCTATTGTTGCTTTCTTGCTTTTTTTGCCGGGCCCGCTCCGCTATCTTTAGCGAAATTTTATCCATTCTTGGTGTCCTTGGTTTTGTTTCACATGGCAGCAAATGCCATTCGGCCAACTCTTGTGTCTCTATTTTAAGCTCCTCTACTTTGAAGTTTTGATGGCTGATGTCTTGACCCAGTTTGGATTAATGGTGTTTGTTGCTTGATTGCTGGGTTTCGGCTTTGTTGTTGTGGGGATTAGGAGGTGGCGAAGCATGAGAATGGGTCAGAAAATTCACTTCACGGGAATTTGAACACTTGAGTGCTTCAATCATGTAGGGTATGATTTTGCTTAAAGTGAAGGTATAATTTTGTGAATTTTTATTTGTCTTCATCACCGTGCTTTAGTCAACATTTTGAAATTGTTGTATGATAGTTGCACTTGCATCTAGAGATATAGTTTTTATTACATGTTTGATGTAGAATTGTACAATCAAAGTGCATGTTCTTTTTCATTTTGGGGTTGTCAATTGATTTCCATTTCATTGTCCACGGATAAGTTTTCCTAAGATTGTATTGTCCCACAAATGTCCATGTGTTGAAGGCGTTTTAAATATCAAAAAAAATAGTGACATACTTTTGCACATTGGAACATTGAATTTATATATATACAGAAGATGATCATAAGTTTAGTTATTTGAAAATTATATCAAAATGAAAACAGTTCATTTAAAAGCCATACTTTGGTTGCTTTTTTGTATTTTACTTTAGCAAGTTTAGAAGGTAACCAAATTAATGCTGTTATGGGATTTTAATCCAATTAGAGGCAGTTGAACCATGGCTTTCTTTCTAAGTTGAATTCTCCTCTCCATTCACTTCTTTAGAAATTCATATGTTGCTGATATTTTAATTATCTATAAATTTCTGTTGGATAGGTTCAAATGGTGTAATTTAAATTAAGAGAAAAATGGTACTTCAAATCTAATTTTTTTTTAGTCTGCATTAAGCTAAAATCTTCGTTCCATTTTACTATTATTTTCAATCTACAAAATATAAGGTAAGATAAAGAAAACCACTCTTTACTCCATATCTCAATCTCACAAGTAAAGAAAAGTAGAGTTATGTACAAACTTACATAATTATATGTGAATTATCTCACATTGTTGAAGTATACAAGTCTTCTACAACGTTTGCTTGTTTGTTTGTTTGTTTGTTTGTTTTGTTCCATGCAAAAAAAAAGATACATTTCATGATTCGTTTTATTTATTTATTTATTTTATTTTTTGACATGTATTTCATTATGGATTTAATAATCATACACAATTGCAAAGGCCTCATGGCTTAAACAGCACTAACAACATCATTTCCAATGGAGCCACAGCTTTTTCCCATCACAGCCACTACTTTTTCTTCTTCTTCGTCTTCTTCTTTTTTTTTTGCCTTTTTAAGGCTTAATCACCTTTTTTAATAGTCCAGCAAAATGAATAGTCTACGCGCCTGGCCAGCAAATTATCGAGTTCTCTCTTGGATGCATTTGTCAGCTTGGCAAATCGTGGGTCCCCTGAATGCCAAGGTGGCATCTCCAGGACCCATGAGTCAATCTGACGTGGCGTACATATCTGCCCAACACGTGACAGGCGAGCAGGCAAGATGCATGGAAGCAGCCAATCAGGTGGCTCAGCGTTCTACTAATTCCATTGGGCTTTGGACCAGAAGAAGTGGGCTGATGGATGAACAGATTGATGGAGTCACATGTCATTCATCAGTTTATCAATGGGTTCATCCATCCATCGCACTCCATGGTTGCGGGTTTGTGTCGTGTTAAAGGCTTTTCCCTGTCCCACATTTAATTGTTTGTTTTGCTATGTCAAGGGTACTATTGGAGAATATGATATGCAATTATTCTACTCTGCATTCATTTTTTAATTTTTTAATTTTTTTTACATCAACTTTCTCACTTTTTTTTATATATTTCTCTGAAATGATAGAAATTGATGGCTAAAGAAATTATCATAGATATGAAAATACAGTTCATTATGTGATATCACTTTGAGTATAATAAATGCAATTTATTGCGCACCTTACTATATGTATGTTTGTGTGTGTATATATATATATATATATTTATTGGCCTAATATTTTTCTCTATGGATTGTGCAGTTTTGTATTCCTAGGATATGGAAATATAAAGTTTTAACTGGATTTGTCCTTGTTTGTTAACAAATTTGATGTGGATCACTTTTGTGGTTAAACTGATTTGTGGTTAAAGATCTACTTTGGAGATTGTGTTGACATATCTTATGATAATCATTCCAAAAATTAAAAATATGTCCATGAAATTACCACAATGAAATGACTTATTATTATTATTATTATTATTGATTTTGATATTGCATGATATTGATGTGAAGGACACTTCATAATTTGTAGAATTGATTAAATAACTACCAACTATGCTTTTGTTCATTGAAATAACAACACATGCTGAATATTATTGTACAGGATAATTGTCAAAAGTATATCTTGAGATACTGTAATAGTTGATGCTAAGATTTGAAAATGAGAAATTTTATTAAGTTAACTGATCCGTACAATTTGCACATAAAAGAAAATAAATACAGAACCACTAATATTGTTATGAATGTAATATCTATATTATTACTTTATAAGATTTGACTCTGTAATTTAACAATATACATCAATACATTTAGTATCATCTCTTTAAAAACAGTAAAGATCAATTATTAAATTTTAGTGAAGCTAACCTTTTAATTACATATCATTTTTTGGAAATATGTGGTCTTTATGATTAAGTGAGCCACATATTTTATTTAACCTAAAATCAATTTTAAACCTCCCATTAATTTATTCAATATAAGTTAATTGTTTTAAAAAAATAGGATATTGTTAATGTCATCACAATTTTTGGTTCAACCATCACAACTTGTCATCCATTCAACATGTTTTTTAAGTTTTTATTTTTATTTTTATTATAATAAAAATTTATGTTAATTTTTCTAATATATATATATATATATATATATATATTAAATAGTAACTTAAAATTTAATAAGAATAAGTTATGTTGACAGTAACAAAAATGCAATGGCATTAATAATACTCTTAAAATAAGATAATTATTTTAAGTTAATAATATTTTTGTGTACATATATATATATATATATATATATTTTAAATTTTTTTCTACTACATTAATCTAATCTAGAAAAAATTTAAAGAACAGATTTTGTTTGTTAAAAACTTTAAAAAATAAGAAGCATTCTACTTTAAAACTTTGTAAGTTTTTATAGAACTTTTTAGAAGTAATTTATATTTAAGAGACAAGATGAGATGCCTTTGTTTTTTTTTTAAGGTTTTGATTGATTAATTGAAATCAAGAAGTCTTCTTAAGTTCTTCATACTTACAAATATAAGTCTAAAAGTTTTAAGAACAAAAAATGAGGTGATGTACGTTCTTTTTTTTTATGTTGCATGAATAACATTGTCTTTTGGAATCTCAAAGAGGTGGTTTTTAAGAAAGGCCAAGAAATTTCTAAAAATACTTAAAATATTTATTAAATAGTAAGAAATAATTTAAAAAATCATGATGGCTTTTTAAAATAAGATATAAGTTAGCATATTTAGCTTTATAATAAAATAATTATTTGAATCATTCTTTGACCTCTTCCTACTTTAAATCATATCCAAAAGACAAGGCTTTGGACTTTTCCACACCAAAAATGGAACCTTAGTAAGGGTTTGCAATATAAATAATAAGAATAATTAATCCAAAAAAATAATAAATAATGAGCATAAATAATAATATGAAATATTCATTTTCTTTAATTTTCTTTATTTTTTTCTTTTTTATCTTGATGATATTACAATCTTTTTTTGTTAAAAAATATACTAAAATTTTTATTTTATTTTTAATTTTTTGAGTATACATAGAAGAGAAGGTTTTCTGATTTTAATCTTAATATTTTAAAATTGAACTTCAGGTTTTCATGTCTTTAATTTCTAAACATGTAGTATGATTCTAAAGAAATTTATAGCAGAATGAGGAAAACTTGTATTTATTGATTCTAAAGAAATTCATAGCAGAATGAGGAAAACTTGTATTTATTGATTCTAAAACATTTTAACTCACATTAGAATAAAGAACATTGACATCAATAAAATATTCCATGTTTTTTTCAGATTAATTTTGCTTCAGTAAACAGTGTGTGGTTTTACTTTAATCAAATAAAAATGATTTTAAATATTATTGAAATGACTGTCAGTGATTATTTTTACTGTAAGGTATTACAAAATCAAAAATCATTTTGTAAAATCAATGTATTTGTGTTAGAAGATTATGACAGATGTTTCTTTTGGTTACAATAACAGAAGTGAAAGATATTATTAGTGCATTAATTTAATCCTTAATAATGATTTATATCAAGGATCTAGAAATAAATTTTGCTTAGTTTTATTGTTCAAATAAAATGCTCATAAAATATTATAATGGATATTTATTTTTTCTTTTAAAATACCACTATTTTTATTGTAAATGAAAATATATTAAAATTCT